TCCAAGCAGAAATAAATTCATTTAAAAGGAAGAAAATAAAAGATCAACAAAATAAAAAGCTGATCTGTTGAAAAGGTAAACAAAATTGACAAACCTTTAGGCAGACCATCTAAGAAAAAGAATAAATAAATAAGAGATGAAAAACTAGACATTACAAATGATACTGCAACAACACAAAAGATCATTAGAAGCCACTATGAGCAACTGTATGCCAATGAATTAGCAAATATAGAAGAAATGGACGCATTCCTAGACACATATAACCTACCAACTTTGAACTGTGAAGATATCTAAAACTTAAACAGACCAAAAACAAGTAACATGATTGAAGCCATAATAAAAAGTCTCCCAGTAATGAAAGCCCAGAACCTGATGGATTCACCGCTGTACTCTTAAACACTTAAAGAACTAAGATCAATCCTATTTAAACTATTCTGAAAAATAGAGGAGGATGGAATAATTCCAAACTCATCCTACAATGCCAGTATTACCCTGACACCAAATCAGAGAAAGACATATCAAGAAAAGGAAACTACAGGCCAATAAATCTAATGAATATTGATGTGAAACTCTTCAACAAAATTCTAGCAAACCAAGTTCAAGAATACATTAAAAAGAGCATTAATCATAACCAAGGAGGATTTATCCCTGGGATGTAAGGACAGTTCAACATATGCAAATTAACAAATGTGATACATGATATCAATGGAATAAAGAATAAAAGATATATTTTCATTTCAATTGATGCTGAAAAAACATTTGATAAAATTCAACATCCTTTATAAAAGCCCTCAAAACCTGAGTGTAGAAGGAATGTGACATAATAAAAGCCACATATGATAGACCCAAAGCTAGGATCATACCAAATGGGGAAAAACTGAAAGCTTTCCTCTGAATATATGGAACATGACAAGGATACTCGCTTTTACCACTGTCATTTAACAAAGTACTGTAAAACCTAGCTTGGGTAATCAGACAAACAAATAAAATAATAAACATCCAAGTTGGTAAACAGAAAGTAAAATTATCCTTGTTTGAAGATGATATGATCTTACATTTGGAGAAACCTAAAGATTCCTCCAAACAAACCATTAGAATGAATGCAAACTCAGTAAAGTTGCAGACTACAAAATCAACATGTACAAATCAGTAGCATTTCTACATGTCAACAGCAAACAATCTGAAGGAGAAATAAAAACAGTAATATCATTTATAATAGCCTTGAATAAAGTTAAATACCTAGGAATTTTCTTAACTAAAGATGTAAAATGTCTCCACAATGAAAATGACAAAGGATTTATGAAAGAAATTGAAGATGACATCAAAATTATGGAAAAAATGGAAAGATATTCCATGTTCATGGATTAGTGAAATAAATGTCTTTTAAATGTCCATACTACCCAAAGCAATCTACAGATTTCATCTAATCCATATCAAAATACCCAAGGCATTCTTCAAAGAAAAAAAAACAATCTTAAAATTTATATGGAACCAGAAAAGACCCAGAATAGCCAAAGTTATGCTAAACAATATGAATGAAACTGGAAGAATCACATTATCTGACTTCAAATTATACCATACAGCTCTAGTAACCAAAACACCATGGTACTGGCATAAAAACTGACACATAGTCCAATGGAACAGAGTACAGAACCCAGAAACAAATCCACACATCTACAGTGAGGTCATTTTTGACAAACGTGCCAAGAACATACACTAGGGAAAAGAGAATTTCTTCAATAAATGATTCTGAGAAAACTCGATATTTATATGAAAAGAATGAAACTTGGCCTAATCTCTTTTCATATATAACCATCAAATCAAAATCTAAGACCTCAAACTATAAAATTACCATAAAAAAACTTAAGGAAAACTCTGCAGAATTCTGACCTGGGCCAAAATTTTGGGATTACTATCCTACAATTACAGGCAACCAAAGCAAAATGGACAAATAGAATCATATTAAATAAAAGTGATTCTGCACAGCAAAGAAAAAATTCACAAAGTGAAGAGACAACACACAGGATGAGAGAAAATATTTGCAAAATACCCACCTGCTAAGGGATTAATAACCAGAATATATAAGGAGCTCAAACAACTCTATAGGAAAAAACCCAATCAAAGAATGGGCAAAAGGTTTGAATAGCCATTTCTCAAAAGAAAGCATACAAATGGTAAACACGCATATGAAAATGTGTTCAACATCACTGATCATCAGAGAAATGCAAATCAAAACCATGAGATATCATCTCACCCCAGTTAAAATGGCTTTTATCCAAAAGTCAGGGTATAACAAATGCTGATGAGGATGTGGAGAAAAGGGAATCCTCCTACACTGTTGGTGAGAATGTAAATTAATACAATCGCTATGGAGAACAGTTTGGAAGTTCTTTAAAACCCTAAAAATTGAGCTACCATATGATCCAGCAATCCCACTGCTATGGGTTTTAACAAATGTATAATGACATATCTCCACGATTATAGTATCAAAAGTAGTTCACTATCTTAAACATCCTGTGTACTCTACCTATTCATTGCTCCTTCCCACTAACCCATAGAATCCACTGATCTTCTTTCTGTCTTTGTGGTTTTACATTTTTCAGAAAGTCATATAGTTGAAACCACACAGTGTGTAGCCTTTTCAAATTGACTCCTTTTACCTAGTAATAAACCTGTAAGTTTTCTCCATGTCTTTTCATGCCTTGATAGCTCACTTCATTTTACTGCTCAATAATACACTGTTGTTTGGTGGAGAGAGTTTATCTCTTTTGTCCTTCTGCCTTCTACCATGGGAAGACACAGAGTTCTTCCTATTTGGAGTGTGCATCATCTAGGCACCATCTTGGAAGCAGACAATAGCCCTTATCAGGCATATAACCTGCCAGTACCTTAATCTTGGACTTCTCAGCCTTTAGATCTGAGAGAGATAAGTTACTGTTCTTTATAAATTACCCAGTCTATGGTATTCTGTTATAGCACCTTTCTGTTATGGCAAAACTAACATATGTTCTTTATAAATTACCCAGTCTATGGTATTTTGTTATAGCACTTTTCTGTTATGGCAAAACTAAGACAGTATATGTCTGTTATTTTGTTAGGCCCAGTTCTAGGCTCTGGGAATAAATTAGACAAGACTGTTCCTTAGCTAATTAAGAAGGTCACATTCCTAATTTGCCAAGGAACAATCCTGTCTTATTTATTCAGAAGATCACATTCTACTGGAAGAGACAGACAATAAACAAACACATTTATGTTTAAAAAGTGCTATTTAGAATTAAAATAGAGCAAGAAAGAGTAGGACTGAAGGGTACGCTGTTTAGAGAGGGCATTGAGAAACTTTCTCAGATAAGGTGACATTTAATCAATGACTTGAATGAATTGAGAAAGGGAGCCATGAAGATATCTGGTAAGCACAAAGGCTTTGTAAAGGCATTGGACTCAGTGTGCTAAAAAAACAGCAAAGAGGTAAATGTCTATAATGTATTATCTGGAAAAAAGTAGCAAAATATTTGAAATTAACTTGCATAGGCCACTGTGTTGTAAAATTAGAACCATAATACATTTATAAAGAATGAACATATTAATTTTTAATATATGTACATATTTTATGACACCCTGGTCAAAGTGTTACTCCACATTAATAAAACCAATTTTTTATGTTATTTGCGTAGTTCACTTTAGCATTATTTATTTGTACTTTGGTTTTTGTATTTTAATGGGGAAATACATTTTTATAGGATATAAATTTTGGTATTTTCAGCATGTCAATTAGAAGGTAAAGTATTCTGTTTGCTGTTCTCAAATACCAACGTCTCAATATATCTTTTTCATTCTTGATGTTTTCTGGAATATTTTCTAAAATAACACCTTCAATTTAAGGGCAATCATAATTCAAAGTCTCACTTTAAACTGAACTTTTAATCTTCCCCTTACTTCTAAAGTTTGAACTGAATTCTGCATATTGGATAATAAAAAGTTATTTTATGTTAAAAAACAGTCTATTCTGAACACAACAGGTTTGTATGTGCTTGGAAGAAAGGAGTTGAATTGAAGCTAAAGAAACAATGACCATGAACACTGTCCTTACTACTGTCTGTGAACAACAACATGTCTCAGCACCACCCTGTATCATTTGCAAGAGGCTTATTACTCAATTAAAAAAATAACTGCTGGCCAAGTGTGATGGCTTATGCCTATAATCCCAGCACTTTGGGAGGCTGAGGTGTGCGGATCACGAGATCAAGATATCAAGACTATCATGGCTAACATGGCGAAACCCCGTCTCTACTAAAAATACAAAAAATTAGTCAGGTGTGGTGGCATGTGCCTGTAATCCCAGCTACTTGGGAGGCTGAGGCAGGAGACTCACTTGAACCAGGGAGGCTGTGTTGCAGTGAGCCCAGATTGTGACATCGTACTCCAGTCTGGGTGACAGAGTGAGACTCTGTCACAGAAAAAAAAAAGTGCATTTTTAGGACAGTTCTCATAGAATGTAAATTCATTTATATCACGAGGATGTGAACTGCCTTTCTTATTTCATTGTGAAATGCCTAATATGACCTACCTAGCCTCCAAAGAATTCATGAAGCATTATTACTCTTAGTTATATCCAACATGATCATCATATGACATGTTAGATGTTTTCTAAGAGATTTTACTTGATCTCAACTAGTTATATACAAAATTTGAGCAAGGTCACCTATATAGCTGAAAATGGTGGCAATAAATAAGGCTTTCATTTCTAGAGTTCCTCCATATGCTTTTAAAATCAGTTATTCTCCAAAATAAGTTAAAGAAGCACCTTTCATTATTTCCACTTTACATGTGAGGAAACATGTCTTGAAGATGTTAAGGAAGCATCATTTTTGTAGAACAGAAAGTATATGTTGGAGATAGGTCTAGAATCATGGATTCTGAGTGGAGTGTGGGCCCATGGCTCCTTCTACATCATCACACTACAATTTGCAATAATTTGTTTAAAGGAAAAAGTAACTTCTTACCTTTGGGACAGTTCTTCCATATCACATGTCGAGTATTCTCATAGTTTATGTTCATCCAATTAAGCAAAATTCTTTCAGAGTCAGAATATAAGTTACTAGATGCAAAACAGTGATTGACTTTTGGTGCATTTTGCACATATATGGGGGGCATATTATCGCTGTTGTATGGTACCACACGGGATAGAACAAAAACCTGAAATTGTGAGAGATAACTTTTACTAGATGCAAATGGAAAAATAGCAAATTAATATTTGAAGAGAAAATGAAAAAACATGACAGGTAGATAAAAGAGAGCACAGGTATTTTCTGGTTAAATAGATTCAATTAGAAGTAAAAGAACAGAACAGATGTGTCCCAATAATGCTCATTTTAAATTCCCAACCTTTTGCTTCTATAGTATGTAGTCTACAGGGCACCAGACTGTATAATTTGCAAGAGGCTTATTGAACAATTAAAACATAACTGCATTTAAGGACAGTTCTGTTAGGATGTAAATTCATTTAAAACACAAGTCAAAACTTATTTTGACATTGATACTTATTTAAGAGGTCTGTTTTTAAGATAATAATGGTGTACAAAATTTGTTATTTGACATATTGTTACCCTATAACTTAAAGTGTGGTATATTTACATCATATCACCATTCACTACATGTATACCAAATGTTTTATTAGGTAGCAATGCAACTGGATGTAAAAATAATCTTAGCAATATTAAGATGAAGTAAAGAACTCTGTGTTTGTCAGTAAAGCACTACAGCACAGAGCTACTCAAAGTAACACTCTACTAACCACTGTCTACAAGTTCTAGATGAGATGAACAGCTTTTGATCCACTACCTCACTATATACATCTCAAGAGTTTCTGAATGGAGCATTGGTTCACATTAGAGTATACAATGTACGCTCAGCTCCTTGATTTATCCCAAACCTTTAATAGATAGTTTTCTAATGGTATGGGTATGAATGCAACAATCTGAGTCATATGTGCTATAAAGATACTCTTGGGCCGGGCGCGGTGGCTCACGCCTGTAATCCCAGCACTTTGGGAGGCCGAGGCGGGTGGATCACGAGGTCAAGAGATCGAGACCATCCTGGTCAACAAGGTAAACCCCGTCTCTACTAAAAATACAAAAAATTAGCTGGGCATGGTGGCGCGTGCCTGTAATCCCAGCTACTCAGGAGGCTGAGGCAGGAGAATTGCCTGAACCCAGGAGGCGGAGGTTGCGGTGAGCCGAGATCGTGCCATTGCACTTCAGCCTGGGTAACAAGAGCAAAACTCCGTCTCAAAAAAGATACTCTTGATACCCTGCCCATATCTCCTTAGCTTCACCTTTACATTCTTAACGTTGATTATTGTGAAAACCTGTAAGTCTCTGCTGGAGGACTGTTTTTTTCTGGCATATGAGAGCACACTCAGCTCACAGATGGGAAGGCAGGACTGCCAGAAGATAATGACCCCAGCAGCAATCCCTTACCAAACATGGTCAGTGGCATTGGTAGGTAATTACTCTAGATTCCTCACCAGTCAGTTAAGTCTGAGACATGTTATAAAATGTATCCTGTTGGTCTCCAGTGGCACTGAGCTTCAGTTGCCCACAGTAAAATCTGATTGAAACCGCATCTGTCACTGACTTCATTATATTATCTGCTTTAATTCTGTACTCTATTACCAATACTTCTTTGGAGCACTTCTGAAATAAATGATTTGCACTCAAATACTTGTCTTAGAGTCTGCTTTTCAGAAAATCTAACTTAAGACAAGTACTCTTACAGTCAAGTACACGTTAATTGTAACTGAATAAAAGTGCTCTTTTTCTAAGTAGTGCACATTTATGGCATGCAGTGTTTCAAATAACTACAGTATACAAATTATTAAAATACCTATGAGTATCCAAAACTGTTCTTTTCTTTGCTACTATAAGAAATACTTCAAATTTGATTTAAAAAAGTCAGTTTCTGAATGTTAGCTATTGATCTAGCATATGTGAATTGCATCATTTTAGTACTTTGTATAGAAGTTTAATTAAACTGCCTTCTTTCATTCTGGCAGTTGTGTTCTAGAAGTCCTACATTTCAAATCTCACATATTATAAAAATGCAATTTAAAGCCTTTGGAAAGGACCCCCATCCATTTTTGTTTATTTCTTGGAAATACCAAATGGTAAATTACTTGAGTACAGCTGATGAGATATATGTTTGGGACTAATGACCTGAACTGGCTCAGGAATCATCTGTCATCTGTCATGTCTACTCTGCAAATGAGACAAGATCTGCAAGTGACCCTTTACTAAGAATACAGATTTAATGATGGACCCACATGGATCATGGATGTAACCTTTAGTATTGGAAGAGCCATTACAATGAGTGCTTAATTTTACAGCAGTGTTTCTGCAATTATCAGTGGTAAACAACTTATTAATTTTCTCTTTACCACAGAAGGATAGTTTTGTAAAATACTCTGAAAATAAATTGCTAGAAAAATAAAATGAAAAATTAAAATGTACACAAAGTACAAGACTCCATCACTTGCAAATCCAAATATATCTTGGGCAAAAAGTGTTACTATTTATCCGTTACCATGCAAATCATACCAAGCATGAGTTGAAGGAATGGAGTAAGAATTACAGAGGCAAGAATGTGCTGTAAGCCGTGCCATCTAAGATGAAATTTGGGTAAATCATATTTAGTGATTCATACTCAGTAAATTCTTTCATACCCTCACAAAACATTGTTTTGAATTATCTTTCATTATTGGCAAAAATTTAATTCAAGAAATGTAATAGCACACTTTAAAGTCAACAGATTGGCCACAAAATTGAACACAGTCCTGAGCTATCCCACTATGTCACTATGGAACGTTTAAAAGACTTTAAAACAACAATGACAAAACTACTACTAATAGTACATATTTGCATACATTGAGTGCTATCCCACCCCTACCTATCATTGCGCTTTCAGTTTCACATAAACTTTGCTATTATATTTGGCTTATTTTCTATCAATGACAACTTTTTAAATTATGTATTATTTTAACCCATTGGCACAGAAAACATAATTTTCATTTTATGCATCCATAAAAATCTCTGGATTTTTGAGATTAATGAGATATTTATTTGGACTTGTTCTGAAGAATCATCTTGACTAGGCTTATATGGACCCAAAGTAAAGAACCAATTGCCAGTTTATGTATGATCTTACCTTTAGTTAAAGAGATGCCTGATGGTTTAACACTTATTTGGAGTCTCTTTAAACCCGCTTAACTAAAGAAATGTATAGCAATAAATTTACAAGACATCCAAGTTCATTGAGAATCCAGATGAGGATAGTGTACCAGATTAAGCACTTATACCTCATTGTCAGTATTTTGTATTGCATAATGAGAAATTACTAATTACTTTGAGGGTGCTGCATGACTAGAAAAATGAAAAGATTTCTTAGACTTGAAGGCTGTCCTGTATTGAAATGGTCCTTGCCCACCATATTCCACTATTGTAACCACTTCCGACATGAGCGTGCAGTGAGTGGGACACTGAAAGCTATGATTTGGCTATTGCTGTGCATTCTGTATTATACCTATCTTTTGCACTTCCTTAAAACTGAGCTAACATGCTGCTATGTGAAATCTGTTATATTTCACAATTTTGATTATCAAACCAAAACTGAGACCATGCTTCCGGTGAAGCAGAGTAGGCCCTATATGACTAACAGTGCAAAAGAGCATATTTCCAGCATTAACTACCAGTCACCAATAAAATGAATTTTACCACAGCCTTTGTGCCTAACAGAGGGAAATTTTCTTGGAGGGTTTTAAGGATGTTGGCATCTTCAATTATGGCCAAGTAAAATGGATTTAGAATATCATATCTAACATGGATTCTTATTGTGTTACAATAAAGATAAAAATGAGAGCACACACAGTAACAACTTACCTGTTCAAATCTCGACAATGGCAAAAAATCTCATGAAAGCAAGCCAGCGAGCACATAATTCAAGAACATATTTCTTGCATATGTTAACACTTTGAGCTATAATCCTTGGCATCTGAAAAATCCTTTCTTCTACTTAATTGATAAAAACCTGCTGTGCACTTTAAATCAGAACTTATTTGCTTGTATGTATAAAAAATTTTAATAAGTGTGGATATCTAGTTTCTTATGCCACAAAAGATTGCAAATAATAGGAAAAAGAAGTACTGTAACCAGGCACGTTGATAATAGCAATTGAAGGGAAGAGAGGTAATAGTTGTTTACAAAAATAATGGGGGAAAAGCATTAAAAAAAACTAAAAAGAAAAAAAATCAAGCATCTGGGCACTATTTGGAAGAGAAACAGGCCTATATAACTCAATGAGGTCTATGGTCGGTTACCACTGTGCTAGATACCCTGGTAATACAAATGCAATTCTGAATAATGCCTCTGTAGATTTCATGTCCTGCCTTTAGCAACAAATATTCCAATTATATGATGTTATAGAGGGATTTTGAACTGGTTTGGGGAAAATATGCCTAACCAGAAGACCACTGCTCTCTGATTAAAAGAATAAAAATATTTGATGGAATTGTGCCACAATTTAAAGTAAAAACTTGGCCAGGCATGGTGGCTCATGCTTGTAATCCCAGCACTTGGGGAGGCCAAGGTGGGCAGATCATTTGAGCTCAGGAGTTCAAGACTAGCCTAGAAATCATGGCAAAACCCTCTCTCTACCAAAAATATAAAAATTAGAAGGGTTTGGTGGTGCACATCTGTAGTCCCAGCTACTCTAGAGCTTCAGTTTCTTCACTGCTAAATTGAGGATTTCAGTTGTGAGGATTTAACATTTAAAAATTTATTTACAGAGTCTTACACATACTACTCATTATTCAGCTCTTAATTTCCTTTGAGTCAGTAATTCCTGATTCTATTTAATTCCTCTCTTGTTCTAACTCTCAGTTCTATAGCTCACCTGTCTTGGGTTGCAAAGTGTAAAGACAAAACAAAAGCCTCCATTTGTCCTAGTAGACAAGATCTATAGTGCTATTTGAGAACCTAGGGAATGATTCATGGACTGAAACCAGGCCTTGTTTATGCAATAAGGGTATGGAGTATAGAGGTATAATTTATGCTATGTTAATCTGCCCACAAATGCAATTTGGTAGGAAGTAAGTTCGAGAATCTCATAAAAACCTGCTTTTGCTTACAGTTGTATGAATCCTAATGAATATCATTTTATAGCAAGAAACTCCTGTATATTAGATGTGGAGACAATAATTCTCACCAGTACTCATTCTTTAATTCTCCCTTTTAGTACTAGAATATTACTGTAGCTACTCATTCTAGAGAGTATATTTCTCAACTTCTCTTACAGCTAGATATGACTATCTGACTGAATTCTGCCTAAAGGAATTTGAAATGTAAAAGACGTATTTTTCAGGTCACATCCTTAAAAGGTAAATCCTTGCCTCCAGTAATCCTTTATCTGCTCTTCCTTCTTCAGAGAAAGCAGACCCAAAGATGAAAACCTAGTACTGAGGAGGGAAGAGATACTCCACAAGCTTTGACCCACTCACATCTCAGCAGTTCCATGAGAAAGCAAGAAAAAAAAATCTTATTTAAAGCACTGTGTTTTGAGCCTTTCATAGCAGCATTATCTATACTTTAATTAATATATAATTTATATTAATCAACAGAAAAGCAGCAAACAATAGTGGAAATGTTACCTTGTATATCTGTAGAAATACATCTGTCCATGCCCGTTTACTCCAATCTTCAAATTTAGACATTTCTATGACAACAGAACATTTTCCCTGAGGTGTACAGGAACTCTCAGGCATGGTATGAGTGGAAAACTTTAAGAAATAAAATAGTACAACATTAATTAAAATTTGAGGCAAATTTAGAATATAAACTTTTTTTTTTTTTACAAAATATGTGCATGCCTTTTCCATACTTTAATCAAGAGCTCTAATTCTCCATGTGCCAATAATATAAAATATCAACACAGGAAACTTTATGGAGCACACAGGCTCATATTTAGGTCATAGATTTATTCACTCAATGCACCTACTAGATCACTCTAGAAGAAGTGACCAAACAACATACAAAGTTCTTCTGATTGCTGAGCCAAGAAAGAGTCACACCCTTTGGGTAAGGTAACAGGACCTCAGCATAGTGCCAAAGAACAGGCAGGCAGTTGGTTCTCTATTCAGGTCATATGGCAAGCATAGTGAGAGTCTTACAACCATAGATAGTTGCCTCAAAGTCGGCAGATTCCTCCAAGACCACTCCCCTCTCAATAGGTTTCTACAAAGTGAACTATATATTATGACAGAATTATGTATTTCTTGCTTCATTTCTATGTCCCTCTGAAAATGAAGAAAAGTGGTACATGGTGGTGAAATAAAACCAGTATTTGGAAAATATATATTCTAAAAGTTTAAGAATAAAATTTCCATAACCCCACCTTGGTCTTCATTTATACATTTTCCAAAGTAGCAATTATTTATATATTTAAGAAAGCCATGTAATCATTTTCACATAGGAACACCACGGAAATTTTTAGACAAATGTCCAAAACATACGGCTTGTCCAAAAATCATGAACCTTGTAATATTTTGTATATAAAACTCAAGGACTCTGAAATACAATATTCTAACATAGGCCAAATACCAGTACATACAATAATAATGTGGTTTGTTGCAAGAAATTATGTTTTCTTACCGTAATTTCAATCCACCTCTTATAGTCTTCTGGTTCAAGCAAAAATTCTGGCAGTATATGTGAAATACATCCTCCTTGAGCACTAAAATTAAAAAAAGAAAAACTCAAATTATGGTAAGATACATGATCTATATACTATTTTCATTGACCATCAATTAAATATTTCAATAGTCATATTTTTATATTTGCTACATTTTATTTTTCAAATTTAAAAGTTATATAATTAGCCAGAGGTGGCAGTGGCCACTGGATGAAGCTTCTCTGCCTTTGGAAAGGGGATGGAAGAGTGAAAAGAAAGCATCTTATGGTTTGAGTGCCATCTCAGACACAGTACAGTATAACACCAGTGGAATTCTAGCTTTTTTTTTTAACTCTAGTCCCTGGGCTTGAATAGCACCTCTGAACCCACCTGGGGTCTGAGGGAACTCTACATCATAAAGAAAAGATATAGACCTGGTTGGCTTTGCCACCTGCTAATTGTAACTCTTCAGTCCCCAGATACAGATACACATTTCCAAGAATCAAGATGATCCAGGAAAACATGACCTCACCAAATAAACTAAATAAGGCACCAAGGACCATTCCTGGAAAAACAGAGATATGTGATCTTTCAGAGAGAGAATTCAAAATAGCTGTGTTGAAGAAACTCAGAGAATTCAAGATAACATGGAGAAGGAATTCAGAATTCTATTACATAAGTTTAACAAAGAGATTAAAATAATTTTAAAAAATCAACTAGAAATTCTGGAGTTGAAAAATGCATTGGCATACTAAAGAAGGGATCAATCTTTTAATAGCAGAACTGATTAAGCAGAGTGAGCTTAAAGACAGGCTATTTAAAAATAGAGGATACAACAAAAGAAAGGATAAAAACAATGAAGCACACCTACATGATCTAGAGGATAGCCTCAAAAGGGCAAACCTAAGAGTTACTGGCCTTACAAGGAGGTAGAGAAAGAGATGGGGAAAGAGAGTTTATTCAAAAGATAATAGCAGAGAACTTCCCAAACCTAGAGAAATATATCAATATCCCAAGTCAATATCCAATATCCAATATCCAAATGAGTTTTAGAACACCAAGCAGACTTAACTCACAGAAGACTACCTCAAGACATTTAGTAATCAAACTCCCAATGAAGTCTACCTCAAGGCATTAAATAAGTAATCTTCCAAAGATTAAAAAAAAAATTTTAAATGATCCTAAAAGCAGAAAGAGAAAGAAACAAATAACATATAATGGGACTCTAATATGTCTGGCAGTAGACTTTTTAGTGCAAACATTACAGGCCAGCAGAGTGATATGACATATTTAAAGTGCTGAAGTGAAAAAAAATATAGAGTATCTAGTGAAAAAGTAATAAAGAGTTTACTAGACCACTAACAGTAGTTGAGAGATTTCATCAACACAAGACATGCTAACTGGAAAACTTCAGACAGAAAGAAACCATAAGTAATCACTTCAAGGTACAAAACTCATAAAACTCACAGGCAATAGTAAGTACACAAAACAACCACAGTTTATTACAACATTGTAACTGTGGTGCGTAAACTACTCTTAAGTTAAACAGAAAGACTAAATAATCAACCAATCAAAAATAAGAAATACAAAGCCACAGACACTACAGTAAGATAAAAGTAGAAATGACAAAAGTTAAAAAGTGAGGGGATGAAGTTAAGGTGTAGTGTCTTTTATTAGTTGTTTTTTTTTATTTTTCTTGTTTCTTTATTGTTTGCTTGTTTACACAAACTGTGTTAAGATGTTATCAGCTAAAAATAATAGGTTATAAGATACTATTTGCAAGCCTCATTGTAACCACAAACCACAAAACATATGACATATACACAAAAAATAAAAAGCAAGAAACAAAACCATATTACCAGAGAAAATCACCTTCACTAAAGTTAAACAGAAAGAAAAGAAAGAAGACAATAAGAAAACAAATTTTAAAAAGGCATAAGTAAGTCCTTACTTATCAATAATAGCATTGAATATAAATGGACTAAACTATTCAATCAAAATACATAGAGTAGTTGAATGAATGAAAAAGATCCTATGATCTGTTGCCTAGAAGAAACACACTTCACCTGTAAAGATGCACATAGACTGAAAATAAAGGGATGAAAAAAGATATCTCATTCAAAGGGGAATAAAAGGAACAGGAGTAGGTACACCTGTATCAAAAAAAAAACTAGATTTCAATACAAAAAGTATAAGAAGAGACAAAGAAGGTCACTATATAATGATAAAAGGGTCAATTAAGCAAGAGGATATAACAATTGTAAAAAAATATATGCACTAAGCACTGGAACAACCAGATATATAGAGCAAATATTATTAGAAGTAAAGAGTGAGACAGACCAAAAGATAATAATAGCTGGAGAGTTCAACCCCACTTTCAGCATTTAATAGATATTTCAGACAAAATTAAGAAACATCAGACTTCATCTGTACTATAGAACAAATGGATCTAACAGATATTTATGAAAGTTTTCATCCAATAGGTGCAGAATACATATTGTTTTCCTCAACACAGGATCACTCTCAAGGACAGACCATATATTATGTCACCAAATAAGTCTTAAAACATTCAAAATTTAAAATTATATCAAGCATCTTCAATGACTACAATGGTATAAAACAAGAAATCAATAAGAAGAGGTATTTGAAAACTTTACAAATATATGGAAATTCTCAAATGTGTTCCTGAATGACCAGTGGGTCAATGAATAAATTAAGAAGGAAATTGAAAAATTTCTTGAGATAAATGATACTGGAAACACAACATATCAAAACCTATCAAATATAATGAAAGCAGTACTAAGAGGGAAGTTTATAGCTGTAAGTACATACTTCAAAAAGGAGAAACTCTTCACACAAATAACCTAAAGTTCCGTCTTAAGGAAAGAGAAAAAAGCAAGAACAAATCAAATCCCAAATTAATAGAAGAAAAGAAATAATCAACATCAGAGCAGAAATACACGAAATTGAAATAAATAAATCAACAAAAGTTGTCTTTTTGACAAGATAAAGTTGATAAACCTTTAGCCAGACTAAGATAAAAAGAAAGAAGATACAATAAATAAAATCAGAGATGATAAAGAAGGCATTACAACTGATACTGCAAAATTCAAAGGATCACAAGTAGCTACTATGAGCAACTATATGGCAATAAATTGGAAAATCTAGAAGAAATGGACAAAGTCAAAAACTGACACATACAACCAAGACTATATCAGGAAGAAATCCAAACCTGAACAGACTAATAACAAATTATAAGATCACAGCTGTAATAAAGAGTCACCCAGTATGGAAAAGCCCAGGACCTAATGGCTTTTCTGCTGACTTCTACCAAAACATTAGATGCAATGAGTTATTAAATTCTAAATGTAATCTCTAAAAATTTGTTTCTTAAAAAATTCTAGCTTAATCCCTAAAAATAAACTGCTCATCTATTTCAGAGTACATATTTCACTTGTACAAAAGTTCTTGCCTACTGTGTCATCAAATTTAAATGGGAAAGCTGATAACATTTATGATAATTTTGTATTTTAATACATATATTTCCATGATGAAACATATGCACATATCTTGAATTAATGACCCAATTTTATTAACCATAATGTCACTTTCTAAATGTTAAGTAATTTTATCACAGTCAACATATCCTGATAGGCATGTATTTGCAGATAAAAGCAGATAATCTGAATGGCATGACTTTAATGTCAAAATTACTCTTCCATACCCGCATCCTCACATCATAAAATGTCACAACACCCCTGTTAATGTCAACACTACTGGGAGCTGTGCCAAAAAGAATTCTACAAAAATAACACAATGATAGCAAGTACCATAGAGTTTAATGATGCTATCACGAAGTTGTTTGATTTCCATAACATACACACAATCAAGATTGACTTAAGTGTGTAAGCTTCCTTCTTTTGCTCACAGTTAATATTTATAATAAGAGTAAAACTTTATGAAAAAAATGCATTCAGGTTTTGGACTTATTGAATTAGAACACTTACCTTTTTGAATCAATTATTGAGGACCAAAAGTACAAACTGTGAAAATTAAAAGCCATGTGCCATTATAAACCTATTAAAATGTAAATAAAGTCTCCATTCTATCTAATAAATGTGAGGATATAATTGATAAATACTGGTTTTTTGACATTTTTATGTCAACAAGACATTTATTAATCATAGAATGGATTTTTAAAATAAATATTCCATTTCAGTGATAGTGATATCACAAGAATCAGTTTCAGTATGTCACTAGTGGTTACTATATTGGAATAGTTTAAGGAAATATCTAAGCATGTGAAAGTCTTAGACCATAATTCATTTAACAACAATAACAATAATAATCTATATGTCATGTGATGCACATTATATTATTTCTAATTATTTTTTAATTTTTAAGTTTAATGGTATATATACAGTTTTGTTATATAGGTAAACTTGTATCACGGGGGTTTGTTGTACAAATTATTCTGCCACTCCAATACTAAGCCTAGCATCCATTGGTTATTTTCTTGATGTAACTCTTCTAACAACCAAGTTAGTTTGGAAATTATCACCCTTAATTTTACATAATGAACTTAGATGTAAAACAGGTGAAGTAAGTTGTGCAAGGTCACAGGAATACAAGAGAGCTGGAATATAAGCCTACATCTGCATGATTCAAAAGCCATGCTCTCTCAACCCAGTTCAGTCCACTCTTCCAGGATTACTTCTTGGATTGTTTCTTCGAAATATTTTTATTCTTAGATGCAATTCCATTAAATAAGATACCATAATGGTCATGCCTATGTAAGAAGGATATAAAATTTTTCCTTTTTTTTTTTTTTTTTGAGACAGAGTTTTGCTCTTGTTGCCCAGGCTGGAGTACAGTGGCACGATCTCTGTTCATTGCAACCTATGCCTCCCAGGTTCAAGTGACTGTCCTGCCTCAGCCTCCTGAGTAGTTGGGATTACAGGTGCCCGCCAGCAGGCCTGACTAACTTTTTGTATTTTTAGTAGAGACAGAGTTTCACCATGTTGGGCAGGCTGGTCTTGAACTTCTGACCGCAGGTGATCCACCCGCCTTGACCTCCCAAAGGGCTGGGATTCAGGCTTGAGCCACAGCACCTGGCCCAGGATATAAAACTTATAAGGATAAAAGTGAAAATCACAAGTGGAACCAAATATACATGTAAGAGGATGTGAGTTATTTTTCCTAGATATATTTATTTTGGTGAATGAACTATTTATTTAAAAACTCAATGGAATTTAAAAATAAGAGTTATAATAGTTTTATATTCTCGTAATGGTCTACTTTATAGTTACAATGTAGGGCAGAAGATGTTCATAGTCTGCTTCTGCTTTTGTTTTACACTACCCAAATTATAAATTTTTAAAAATGTTATTTTCAATGAAAATTAATGACAACATAAAAATGATAATAATTACAAACAAATGAAGTTGTATCAAAGGATATTAGCTATGATGTTGGTAAGCAAGCTGCCATAACAAAATACCACAGGATAAGTGGCTCAAACAAGACATTTATTCTTTTAACCATCTGGATGCTCTAAGTTCAAGATCAAGATGTCAAAAATTTGGTTTTAGGTGAGGCCTCTTTCCCTGGCTTGTAGATGGCCATCTGCTCACTGTATACTCACATAATATTTTTTCTATGCTCAGAGAGAGAGAGAGAGAGAGAGAGAAATCTGGCATCTCTTTCTCTTTTAAAAGGATATCCATCCTCAAGGCCTTAGAAATAGAAATTCCATTTGACCCAGCAATCCCATTACTGGGTATATATCCAAAAGACTATAAATCGTTCTACTATAAGGACACATGTACACGAATGTTCATTGCAGCACTGTTTACAATAGCAAAGACCTGGAATCAACCCAAATGCCCATTGATAATAGACTGGATTGGAAAAATGTGGCACATATACACCATAAAATATTATGCAGCAATCAGAAATGATGAGTTTGTGTCGTTTGTAGGGACATGGATGAATCTGGAGAACATCATCCTCAGCAAACTGACACAAGAACAGAAAATGAAACACCGCATATTCTCACTCATAGGTGGGTGATGAAAAATGAGAACACATGGACACAGAACGGGGAGTACTAAACACTGGGGTCTTTGGGGGGGAAACGGGGAGGGCCTGTGGGGGGGGGTGTTGGGGAGGGATAGCCTGGGGAGAAATGCCAAATGTGGGTGAAGGGGAGAAGAAAAGCAAAGCACACTGCCATGTGTGTACCTACGCAACTGTCTTGCATGCTCTGCTCATGTACCCCAAAACCTAAAATCCAATAAAAATTAAAAAAATATTTTCTCAAAAAAAAAAGGATATCCATCTGATTGGATTAGGGCCCTACCTTTATGACCTCATTTAACCTTAATAACACCCTTAAAAAAAGCCTTATCTCCAAATAAAATCACATTGGGGGTTAGGATTTCAACATATGAATTTGGGATGGGGCACAATTCAGTCCATACCAGACACAAATGACAAGAAATATATTACTGCAAATATATCCACACAAATTTATTATAACATCCAATTACATATTTTTTTCATAATATAACACACACGGTATTGCTATGGTCTAAACTATACCCCTCCACAAAGTTTATATATTGAAACCCTAAATTTCAGTACCTTAGAATGTGAGTGTATTTGGAGTTAGGGTCTTTAAAAAGATAACTAATGTAAAATGATATAATTAGAGTAGCATGAAATCCAGTTTGGCTCATGTCTTTATAAGATGATGAAATTTGAACACACAGAAAGACACCAGGGAAATGGGCACATGGAGGAAAAACCATGTGAGGACACAGCAAGAAGAGGTTATCTGCCAGCAAATAGAGCCTCAGAAGAAACCAAAACCTGACAATACCTTGGTTTTAGACTTCCAGCCTCCAGAACTGTGAGAAAATAAATTTAAGTTGTTTGCTCCAACTTGACTCTCTCATGTTACACTCTTTCCTAGAATGCAAACTCTTCACCCTTTCTTTTACCACTAATTTTTATAGTTCACAGCATTTTCTTCATTCTTATATAAATGTCCTGAGATGCAATTTCAAAGTTTTATTCCTTATACCACACAAATTCATAAGGTAAATCTCTGTGAAAGAAAATGTTTAAAATAAATATTTAATGAACATTGGCCTCATTCCGTGCTGCCAGTGATCCTGGTGTTAGAAATTCCAGATGAAAGAGATGAGATGTGGTTTCTGCCCTTAAGATGCTCACAGATTTGGGGGATTCACTGACTCAGGGATAAGTTAGTGGAGTTGAAAGTGATTTACAAATTCCACATAGCTGTGCTATTTCCTTAACTGATATAACCGTCCTCATTCTCCCACCTAGATTGAGTAGAGAAGGATATAGAGAAAATGCAAAATTGCATTTTCATGTATCTTTAGGTCTTCTCCTCAGAACCTCTTTACAGTAATTCTGTTATTTGTGATTAACAGTCAAAATTTCACCCCGCCTATCCATGCCATATGGCACCTGGGAAAAGGTAGATTCATTGTCAAATAAATACCATTTTGACTTCAGGTTTCTTTACTTTCATGGTTACCTTATAAAGCCATGAATCTAATATTTATATTTTTCATTTGGTATTTTATATAAGAGGGTCCCTCAATTGTATAAGAACTCTCAGAACTAGGATCATCCATGCTGATGTGGGCTTATCTGAGATAGGGAGAGGGACTCCTATATTTGTACATGAAGGTTGGTGACTGCATTTCTGGATACTTGTTCTTTTTAGGCTGTGCCTCCTCTTGGCCTGAAATGTTTTTGTTACGTAGGCATATGCTACTGATGTCTGAGATGGGGATCTTCTGTCTTGCCCTTAGGCCCATCAAGGACCAAGAGGTCTCCTATAACTGACTCAGCCACTCTCTAGTCCTCATATATTTGTCATTCCTGTTGTGGCGTCAGGGCCTGCCAACTGCCACTTTTGTCTCTTCAGTGGGGTCCCTCTAACATGCTAACACAGAAACTGCCATGACAAGTTGCCTGGATCTTGATTAAATCACCTGAAGTGATTTAGAAACTTCTAGCTACCTAGCAATCCACAAGGAACCAAGCCAGTTTGCCTCATTACCATGATATTGAGAGCCTAAGAAATGAAAGAAAATATTTTAAGTAACATGTCAAAGTTTTAATACATAGCATTGCTAGGGACTCAAAAATCCTGATTTGGAAATTTAAAAACTGAATATCAAATATTTAATTTATATTCCTGCTGTAAGAGTCCTCTTCTTGCCCTTCATCTCTATTCCTGCTAGGATAGATGAATACCTCTGAGAAACAATGGAGCGGATTCCATAAATAAAGATGCACAAGAGAAAATCACAATAATGTATTCAAAAATATATTAATCACACTACATAATTATAAGTAATAAATGCCATTTTAATTGTATAGGAGCATGGAAGATGGAGTAGTACTATTTTCAACTCAATGCTAAATAAATTACTGCCTATGGATGTGGGATATTTCAGTATACAAGGATGCTGCAAGTGAAGGGCGAAGAAGCAATGTGAATTCACCAGTACTCTTCTCAGAATGTAAATGTACATTGTTTTTCCATTTCTTGGCCATTTGCCACTTAATATTTGCAGAGGAACACAGATATTATAATGACAAGTATTTTCCCATTTTGTATCAACCATTTAAAATTCCTTTTGCCTGCCTAATATTTTAATATTAAGACTTTACATATGCAGACTAAAAGTTTATGGTATCCATAAATTGAGATGATACTAATAACAATCTGAGAAATAAAGCTTATTGGTTTCATCCTTTTTTAGCTCAGTGGATTTATATATTTGCTGTAGATCAAGATTTTCAAAATGAGATAATGGATCAGAAATATCAGCATCACCTTAAAACTTGTTATAAATGAAAATTAACTTTGTAAACTCAATAGGTAAGGGTCAGCAAACTGTTGTTTTAACAGGCCCTTTCAGTGATTTTGATGCATAATAAAGTATAAAAATGATTGCCTTAGATTAAAAATCGAATACATCATAAAATGCTTATTGTCTATTAAGCATTATATATTTTTCTGAAATGTGTGAGATGTATATAAATTATTATATATATACGTATATATTTGTATATATATATATTTGGTTAAAAAGAAAAATAATATCAAAGACTATCTACTCAACTATTTATCTAACTATCCAAGCCAGAGTTACATGCTTATATGAGCACATCCAACTACTTACTTGAGAAACTCCAAAAGTGAAGAGTGTTGCCTGTGAAGCTGAATTACCCTTTCATTATTATCCACAGGTAAAGATTGACTTGAACTAATTCCAGGTGGCCTTCTTCCACTCAAATGGAGGAACACATCATAAATGGTTTTATTATATTTAAAAATATTATTCTGTCTGGAAAACTTTTGAGGTGATAAGGGTGATGAGTAGAGTTGCATTTTATATACATCCCTATGAGAAACAGACTTTAAATTAAAAGCAGTCTCAAAATGTTATAGTATGAAAAAAAATGTTCAATTCAATGACTAAATAAAACTCTATTAAAATCAACTAAGTAAGAAATTACATAATATGCTTCATTCAGTTACCATTTGTTAGCCAAAAAAAGATCTGTTAAATAATATCATAGATTTCCAGTATCTCATTTAAACACACATAATTGATGTTACAACTGTCAAATCTGAAGTATTAGATTAGGAATAGATTGAATCTGGAAAAGTAGAATAGAGATTGAATTTTAAACCCAACACCTACTAGCTGAATGAGTATGCAAGCTATCTAAACTCACTGAGCTCAATTTTGCATGATATAAATTGGAGCTAATAAGGCCTATAATAGGTTCCAAGATAAATTTCAAACATTTATCACACATGGATATACAAAAATAATTTACACACATTTTCTCAGTATTTGTATTTTAATGCTTAGGAGGGTACATTCTGCACATTGGCCTAATAAGCAGGAATTTTCATTTTAAAGACAAAGTCCACAGATAATATACATTCCTCTGTGCTTTAAATGAGATACTGAAATCTCTACTTTCTAGTAATATTGTACAAGTTTGTGATACATACTGACTTTTAATGAAGTTAAAATTACCACATGTTCTGGCTGTCTAAAATTTATTAAATATTTCATACCACACTGTCTAATTGTTTGCTAGCATTAAGAGTCACAGAAATATCATTTGCTTAGACTGAGAAATAAAAAGTATCCAAGGCCATTTTGAATGGCAGTTTCCCAGTTTGGTAGATAGGTAGTTCATACAGAAGAAATACATTCTACTGGGTAAGAAACAGACTACCACTGCTCAAAATATGGCTATTCCACTTATTGGATTACATTATAAAAGTTACTTGGCTTTTCCGTTCCTTAGTTTCCTCATAAGTAATGGATATGATGGAGCTAGTGTATCCTGAAGTTACCAGGAAAGAAAGAAACAAATATTTTATGGAGAAAACTAATACCACTATGGTCAAGATTAATGCAAATGAAAAGGAATAATAGGGAATAAAATGGACACTCAGGGATCCCAGGTATTATAGTTGTAAGACAGGTTTTAAACCAAATGTACTATGTCCAAATGAGAATTTTTTTCATTAGAACAATAAATTACGTAAAAATTGACTAAATGGAACATTCACAAATAAAATCTGAATAAAATTAAGAAAACAATGATGTGCTTAACAGCAGATTAAGTCAAATAAAAAATTACTGCCAATGAAATATAGCTCATAGAAAAGTATTCATACTGCAACATTTCAGAAAATAAAAATCATCCTACCTGCAAGATTAAAGATTCAAAAAGAATAAAGAACAATGATGATGGTAAATATATAGGCAAATATAAATTGATTAAAACAAGAATTAAAAATATTAATATTGTCAAATCATTATTCTTTATTGACTCCATATTTGTCTATATATAGTTTAACAATATTCATTTTACTCTTACTTATATATTAATATGTTAAAGGATTTTGTTTATTTTTCAATTAGGAGAATCCCCTACTTTGGAGATTGAAAATATTCAAAAGGCTCACACACCACTGTCACCAGCAAACATGCAGTAAAATGATAAACAAATAAAATATTTTAAAAATAAGAACTGTAGAGAATCTCATTATTGTTATAATAGTGTGCAAAAGTAAAAAGAATTAAGGAACAAAACTAGAATGAGTTATTATAACCACTTTCATTTTAATACTTAGCTTGAATCTAAAGTCAAGTTCTATAACTTTTTTGGACACTGTTGACAGTATAAATGGGCAGGATGCCCAGAAATGGACGTGACACCTCATTTTTATACTGATAAATTATCAGTGTGATTGCCAGCACAACTCAAAGCTGCAAACAGAAAAGCATGCTATGCTATATATATATTTTGTACATATGCACACACATATATAAGTATCTATACACATATATGTATATATGTACCTATATGTGCATGTGTATGTGTGTGTGTGTGTGTATCTATGTATATAGATAAAAGTCAAATGATCCTGAATCAAGCTGGGAAAACATCCTGCAAAGAAATATTATTAATAAAACGTAACTTGAAAAAGTGGTGTCTTGAAAATGATGAGTTTTAAACTGACTCTCTACTGCCAAATACAAGAAGAGTTAGTGAATATGATTAATGAAATTAGAAACACATAACAATATTAACATGATCCTAATTAAATTTATTAATAATAGCTAATATTTACTGAAGACTTACTAGTTCCTAAGGTCTGCTCTGATATGCATTAAATATATTACCTTATAAATGTTACAACAACTGTATTGGTTAGGTATTATGATTAGCTCCATTTTTACAGATGAGTAAATGGAGGCATAAAGGAAATATTTTCCTCATTTCATATCTCTTGTTATGAAAGATAAAACATTCCACTGAATGAATTTGATTTTCTGTAAGATTCTATGTATTATACTAAATGAGAGGCTCTGGGATGGAATAGTTGGCATTGAAACAAGCTTTACTTAAGCTTCCTGACTGGCATTCTAGCTTGTGTTATTTGTATGTGGCAGCTGCAGGAAGCTTCATGCTAAAGTGGAATCCTGGAATAGCACCTATATGTAGTGCAATTACTTCTCTCAGAATAAGTGGTATTTCCAGTAGGATTCAAATGACTCTATGGTTAGTTGCTCAGAGATCTTCCCAGTGGCGTTTATAGAAAATGTTATTCCTACAATTCGCCCAACTTGAAAAGAATAGACTATAATATTTACCACATTTTCTGTGATTATTTCTGAAACATAAATTATGTTTTCTTGCCTATTTCAAGGGCTACTTCTATCTTCTGGTGATTTGGGAGAAGAGCTAAAATGAAATAATATCTAAGGGCTTCTAGGAACTGAAAAGAGACTGATGTCAAAGTCATTATCATAAATGAAGTGCAAATTAAAATCCCAATGAGATATTGTCTCACACCTGTTAGATTGACTTATAAAAAATATGAATAACAAGTGTTGGAGAAGATGTGGAGAAAAGGGAACCCTTACACGCTTCTGGCAGGAAGGTAAATTAGTACAGCCATATGGAAAACATTATGGAGGTTCTTCAAAAAATTAAAAATAAAACTAGGGTTTTCTAAGCATAAAATCATATCAGTGAAGACAGAAAGTAAGAATTCTTTTTTTCTTATTTGGATGTCTTTTGTTTCTTTCTCTTGCCTGCTTGCTCTGCAAAGGAATTCTCATATTCTTTGGTATAGGAGGGTCAGAGTGGGCATCCTTGTTTTGTTCTAGTACTCAAGGGAAATGGTTCAAGCTTATGCCCATTCAGTACGATGTTGGCTGTCATAGATGACTCTTGTTATTTTGAGGTATGTTACTTTGTTGGTGACTGTTGGGTTTTTTTATCATAAAGGGATGTCAGATATTATTGAAGGCTTTTATCACATCTATTGAGATGATCATACGGTTTTTGTTTCTAATTCAATATATGTGGGGAATCACGTTGATTATTCTGTGTATGTTGAATCAACCTTGAATCCCAGAAATGAAGCCTACTTGATCATGGCGAATGAGCATTTTGATGTGCTACTGGATTCAGTTTGCTAATGTTTTATTGAGGATTTTTAAATCTATGTTCATCAGGAATATTGGCTTACAGTTTTTTTTTTTTTTCACTGTGTCTCTGCCAAGTTTTGGTATCACAGGGATGTTGGCTTCCAAGAGTGAGTTAGGGAGGAGTCCTTTCTCCTTGATTTTTTGGAACAGCATCAGTATAATTGTTAGCAGCTCTTCTTTGTTTATCTGGTAGCATTTGTCTGTGAATTAATTTGGTCCATGGCTTTTGTTAGTAGGTTTTTTTGTTACTGATTCAACTTTAGAAATCAATATTGATCTGCTCAGAGATTCAACTTCTTCCTGATTCAATCTTGAGAGGTTGTGTGCTTCCAGGAATTTATCCACTTTCTCTAAATTTTCTAGTTCTTGTGCATAGAAGTGTTCATAAACATCTCTTAGGATCCTTTGTATTTCTGGGGATCAGTTGTAATGTCACCTTTAGTAATTCTGATTGTGCTTATTTGCATGTTCTTCCCTTTTTTCTTTGTTGGTCTAGCTAGTAGTATGTCAATCTTGTTTATCTTTTCAAAAAACCAAGTTTTGGTTTTGTTGATTGTTTGCATGTGTTTTTGAGTTTCAAATTCATTTAGTTTTGCTCATATTTTAGTAATTTCTTTTCTTTCACTAGCTTTTGGGTTAGCTTTTCTAGTGCCTCAATATGTGACGTTTAGTTTGAGATTTTTATTTTCTTTTTTTTTTTTTGAGACAGTGTCTCACTCTGTCATTCAGGCTGGAGTGCAGTGTCAGGATCTCATCTTACTGCAACCTCTGCCTCATGGGTTAAATTCTCCTGCCTCGGCCTCCCTATTAGCTCAGACTACAGGAGTGTGCCACCATGCTTGCCTAATTTTTTGTATTTTTGTAGAGGACAGGATTTCACCATGTTGGCCAGGCTGGTCTCGAACTCCTGGCCTCAGGCGATCTGCCCACCTCTGCCTCACAAAGTGCTAGGATTATAGGCATGAGCCACTGTGCCCAGCCATTTTAAATCTTTTTAACTTTTTGCGGTAGATGTTTATTATTATAAACTTTCCTCTTGAAAATGTTTTTGCTGCATCCCAGAGATTTCCTGTAACTGATAAATGACTTCAGCAAAGTTTGAAGATACAAAAGCAATTTACAAAAATTGGTAGCATTTATATACACCAATAATGTTCATACTGAGAGCCAAATCAAGAAGGCAATCCTATTTAAAATAGCAACAAAAAAATAAAATACCTAAGAATACATCTAACCAAGGGGGTAAAAGATCTCTGTAAGGAGATCTATAAAACACTGCTGAAAGAAATCACAGACGACACAAACAAATGGAGAAACATTTTATGCTAACTAATTGGAAGAAGCAATATAGTTAAAATGGACTTACTGCCTAA